CTCAAGATAATAGAAATGGCATGATCTTCCTCCATATCAAGTATGATAAAGTTGGTTGAGAAGATTAATTTGTCCACTTTGACTAGGACATCTTCAATGACACCTCTTAGATCCTTATAGATAGTTCGACCAATTGCAAAGGCACAGTGGTTGCTTTTAGCTGCTCCCAAGCCCAAATATCTAAAAATTGACAAAGGCACATCAAGTTAATGCTAGCACCAAGATCACATAATGTTTTATTAAAAATTACATCACCAAAGTGCATGAAATATTATTATTACCTAGATCTCATTTTTCTTGAGGCAATTTATTTTGTAGAATAGTGCTACACTCTTCCATTAGCATCACTGTTTCATAATCTTCAATTTTTCTTTTGTTGGAAAGAATGTCCTTTATAAACTTGGCATTTGAGCTAAGGCATTGGCAAATAGGATGTTGATGTTTAGCTTCTTGAACACGTCCAAAATTAACCAAATTGAGCATCCAAATTATGCTTTTGTAGTCTTTTCGAGAAGGGAATATGAGGCATGTATGCCTTAACCGGTGTTGGAGTCTTTGATGTCGATGGTTCTGGTTCACCTTCTTTGATTGTTTCTCACTTATGTTAGGCTCTTGAACAAGCCTATCTTCATCCATAGGTGCCTTACCAAATTGAGCCCTTGAGCATGTCACTATAATTTCGAGCAATTGTAACCCACTTCTTGTGGTACTAGCTTGTACATTCTCCCTTGGATTCATTTCGACATTACTAGGCAAAGCCTCTTGTGGCCTTTTCGAGAGAAGCTTGGCTATTTGACCTACTTGGTATTCCAAATTTTTCTAAGAAGCGTCATTACGTTCTTGGTATTGCAATTGATGAGTTGCTAATTTAGTAATGGCCCCTTTCCATCATTTTTTCTTCTCTTGTGGCCTCGAATTTAACAACTTTTATTGTTCTCATAAGAGAGATTTGGATGATTCTGCCAACTAGTGTTATATGTTTGAGAATATTGGTTGTACCCTCGGCGTTGGAAAATTTGAGCATAGGCTACTTACCTGATGGATGGAAAACCACCACCTATTAATGGATAACTTGAGCTTGGATGGTTTGCTCCACATGTATCACAAATTGGAGGAGATTGTACCATGTGCGCGAAATGAGAAATAGAGGTAGATGTAGAGAGTCCTTCTACCTTCCTTGCTAGAGAGTCGGTCTTAGCTAAAACAAGAGAATATTCTTCATTCTCAAGAGCTCCACTAGCTCTCCTTTGTGGACCTCTATCCAGCCACGTTTTACTTTGCTCGCTCATAATTTCAAACAAGTCGTAATCCTTCCGAATGCTCTTCTACTTGATTGACCAATTAGAAGACGAGTACACATTTGATCAACCAGAACAATTCGGCATAGAAGTAATTGACTCGTTGTCTTATTGTGATCCCATGATTTGGGCACTTCCGAAGTATGTCTTTAAACCTTTTCCAAGCTTCATGAGAACCTTTAGAATCAAATTGTAGGAAGGTGGTGATATCATGCTTGAGCTTGGCAACTTGGATGGGAAAAATTTTCTAGTAAACTTTTGTACAAATTCCGCCTAATGGGTGATGCTCCCTGGTAGCAAAGTATCAAGCCATTCTCTTGCCTTGTCTCTATACTTACACCTTCATATTTACAGTCGCTAGATTTTCCACAAATCGCGCAACATGAGAGTGTGGGTTTTCATCAATCCTTCCATAGAATGGAATGGTATTGGAAAACAAATTGATGATGTCCGATTGAAAGTTCGGATGCTCATAAGAATGGTAGACAATACTTGACTGATTTTCTATCACAGGCAGGTTCATAAAATCCCCAAATAACATGTTTTTTCATTTATCACGGGATTTTGAGCCCCACCTGCTTGATTATCAAAGCTCGGAGGAATGCCACCTCTTCAAATATGTTCGGGTTGAGCATTAATGTCAACATTTCCTCCTTGTTGTGCCATTTCAAATTGTTGTCTTGCTTCTTTTTGTTCCCTTAGCCTTCTTCGAGAAGCCCCTTCGACATTTGGATCAAGCTCAACAAGATCAAGATTTCGAGAGCGATGCATGAACTATCAAAGACCTAGAAAAACAAAAATTAATATGTCAACTTCACAATAAAAGTACAAAAGAATAAAGAATAAAAATATTTAAAACAAATATCAACTAACACAGTAATTAAAATAAAACACTCCCCGACAATGATGTAAATCGCAAGTTTACAAGTGCGTTCATGTAATAGGGTAGACTTATGAGTCCGAGTTTTCGATCCCTCGAGGAGTTTTTCTTTTAATTATAAAATAGTTGACATTGATTCTAATGATAAAACACAAAATTTGAATATTTTAATATGAAATTGAAAAGAAAATAATTGTAAAAATCAATTAAACTAGCAATTATCAAAGAGATGGAAATTTGGATGATTTACGAGCTGAGATTAATGATTTCACTTGATCATCAATTAATTAATTTCTCAAGATCCAAATTAATAAATTACTCATTTAACATGTTAGATCCTATTTTTCTATATTAGCTAATTACCTCTCTCGAACGAGATTAGCCTTGATCGACTAGTTTGATTTACTATGTCTCCATGCTTATTAAAACACAATAAATAGCATTAAATACTTGTGAAAATAGCTCAAAGAGTCACCTAACGTTAGGAATATGTCTTTATCTCCTACAGGAACCTAGGGTTTCTATCATTTTGGTCTAAAATGCACAATAATTTCTTAATAATTTTACAAATCACTTATCATAATTATTTAGTGGCTACATAAATAAAAATAATGATGACGACGATGATAATTGTAAAAAAACTAGAGCATGAATATTAATACATTAACAATCAAAGATTGAAATTAATATAGCTAGGTCAAGCTTCATCATTCATCCCAACTTCAAAAGATTAAGCTCATTATAGAAAAGTAGCGAAAAATAAAAATGGTTAGGAACCCCATGACAAAATGGAGAAAATTAGAGAACAAGAGAATAGGCTAAACCCGTCCCTTAGGTGGATTCTCAAAGAAATGGAGTGATGAAACCTTGATTTTTTAAATCCCTCATTTTTTTTGCTTGGTTTTTCTTCCTTCTCTTGTGCCTTTTGTCTCCCTAGAGTGGTGCGAAATGTGTGTATAGATATTTATTTTTTATTTTTTTGGCCCTAATTGTGGTTTAAAATCAGTAATTAAATGGCTGTAAACCATCCACAACAATTTGCAACAGAAGTCCCCGAAGAAAAATGAAAAAATTGAAGGAGTCCTCCCAGTTGGAAGCTAGGCGCGCGCCTATGCATTGGACAGTTGCGCACCTTTAGAGAGCTTCCAGGTCTCAGTTGCCTGCATAAGCGCCCGGGTGCATAACTAGTTGTTCACCCGACTCTTTTTTTTTCTCCTGCAATTCAGTCCCCAATCAATACTATATGCCTAATCCCTCAAGTCCTCTAATTTTCACTTTTATATCAATTTTGCCCTTGATAAATTGCACCCAAGGTCCTTCATCTTTTGGCACTTGTGTGCTTTGTTCCCCAAACTCGCAATTTTGTACACTTTTAATCCCTTTTTCTTTCTTATGCCTCATTCTCCTTCAATTGGATTTTTTTGCCTACGAAAAAACCATAATTACACAATTGTGAGTTTGAATCTGCTCCTTTATCATTTAATCAATGATAAGCTTATTTATATGTCAAATAAATGTGTAAAATCACACTAATCATCTTGCACTTTCGTATTTGATGTTTTTTTGCTTATTTAAACATGATGGGCAAATAAGTTATTTAACACCACCCTAATAGACTTTTTGGACGAAAATTGTCTATCCCCGGGGACCAAATTTGTTAATTAATGGAATGTTGAAAGGAAGAATGTGAAAAAAAAGTTGGGGATATAAATTCGACAATGAGCAAAGATTTAAAACTTTAACTGCAATCAATGAAATCATAGTATAAATATAACCGCCATATGAATATTTACTTTTGAATGCGTTCTCGGTGCCTTGCAATGGAGAAGCTTGCCTTAGCGAGTAAGTATTCTGATCAATGTATATATCATGATCTAGAATATGGCATCTAATCAATCTTTAATACTTCGTCACTTCATCTCACCTTATGGAATGGAATCAGAATTTTTTTTGACTTCTACATCAGTTGATATTTTCTTCATATATATGTGCAAGAATTTCCCAGCATGCTTTTAAAGAAAGGTTCTTTTCTCTGAAAACCAGTGTACAAAACCATCGGCACATATATTAAATAATACAGAAAGAATGCTTAATTACAAGTCCAAGTGCTTGGAGGAATATATCTTGGTTCTGCTTTGTAGATAGATGGTGTATGTTTAATGATGAAAGATAGTGAGAAAAAGGAGATTTTTAGGAATATTTGGTTCCTTTGCACTAAAACCCATCTTTAATAATTCCTTGAGCCCATCCATCCCACGACATCTGATATTCTGAATTTCCTTTTCGGCCTCAGCGGCCATATTGGATTGATCCTCATCTGAATCATTAATATGTGGTGTATAAGTATTAAGAATTGGAACTTTAATAACGTATAGGTGACTGGACTACTTCTTTTAAGTTTTTACAAGATTGACATTTCAATAATAAACCTCGAGTTTTGATATTATATTAGAGCTCAACAAGTGAAAGCTTTCGTTTTCAAAATGTACCAAATGTGCCACGTAAATCCCATTTCGAATATATATAAAACCGACGCATAATATACTTTTAAGATGGAACCTCAATATTTTTACAAGGGCTATCTAGATACTATTCCCTTCCGAAAGAGTTATTTTTATAATTAAGAGACAAGCATGAATGGAAAAGAATATTGGATTGTCCACCAAATGCAAAGTAATAGGTCAATTGGGAATTGTCATTGTTTATTAATTGTTTAACAAAGTTATTGAATAAAAATAATAGAAAGAGAAGGAATAGTAATGAACAGCTTTCTCTGGAATATATATTTGGCTAAGATTTCAACTTAAGGAAGAGATGCTTTTGAGGAATATTTTCTTGAATTGGACTAGTTCGTTTTCATCTTCTTCTTTCTCTCCTTTATATATCCATCCAATAGACCTATTCACAATGGTTAAAGTATTCAAAACAATAATTGGCTCTATCTTTTCCGCACTTGCATACTGTTTCTTTCACCATAAAATCAGCAGTAAAGAGGCGAATCACAACTACCAGTACATGGCTAAGGGTCGACCACTTTCGTTGCAGGTTTTTGCTTTCATCTCGACTATCCATTTAATTGTTACTAGGTGTCTTCTTTCGCTTGTATATATTTTGAAACTGCTCTTTTCACCGTCTTCTATTGTTTAAGTTTTGAGCTCAGTGAACATCGAATTTTGTTAAGTCTCAGTATTCTCTCCACATCTATCTTGCTTACATAGTAAGCACTGTCCATTAAAAATCACCTGTGATGAGAAAAAAAATTATTTTTTCCACGACGTATCAATTCCTTGTTACTTTCTTTTGTTCTTAGAGAGATTTTATAATATTTCCTCACCATATATGCCTGTGCACGAGTTGATCAATGTGAAATAATGCAGAAGATTGTTCTTTCCTCATTATTATCGCATATTATTTTAAATCTTGGTTACTCATGATCAACAATCAGCTTAATGTTAACTTCAGTTACCAGGTTATTTTATTTTTTATTTTTAAGAGTTATATATCTATCCCCTTCTGTTTAGAGGGCTTCATCCATGTGAATGGAATAATCTTTAATACACTTTTTAGTTTATAAATTATTTTAAAATAATGTTATTCATAGTCAGCTACTACAATAGATATCCTATGTGGCAACTATTATTCGAGTCATTAATTTCTTGAATTCTATTGCCTCAATAACAAGTTATCATATAAGATGATTACTGTGTCGCTGTCTATAAATATCATTATTCATTATTTAACGTATTATACTGATTAATAAGATAAGTATCAAATATCCATAAATCAATCAAACTTGAATTAGGCACGTCAAAACTAAGCTTGATTAAACTCGGATCTATAATATTGAAGAAGCTTTAGCATTTTACTACCTGTTTATTCTCCTTAATTGAAGTGGTCTGTCAAAAACCCTATCTTTGTAGTGTTGAAGAACACAAAGATGGCGTTCCACTAATTCGGGAATATAATAATATAGATGGTTCTCTTGGCCCAACCAACTAGACATGCTTTTCTTAATCTCCAAGTTTAAAAGGTTTATTTTTGTATATAAGAACAAATGGAACAATGGAATAAGAAGAAAGGGGAATATACTTTTGTGGAAATAACTTCTTTGAACCCTACCTGTTTTAATAATTCCCAGACAGTGGACCTCAAAGTTAGGATGTGCTGCACTGGCTGCGAGAGAGTTGTCAAAGAAGCCATTCAAAAACTTAGAGGTATATTTATTGAAGAATGCTACTGATATAGAATTTTTTTCAGAAATCATACAGATGAATACTTGATAGACTATCATTGGAAGATGATAAAAGTACAAAAGAAAAGCTGCCAATGCAGTACCTATACATATTCTGTTTTTTTCCTGTACTTGCAAAATAATTCATATTTATTACTCAATATAAATTAGCATATGAAAACTTTACAATTTTTTTATAATTTTCTAGTCAAAATGGCTTTTGTTTCGCGTCGAAATAACTCTTAAATATGGTGATTCAATCATGCAAAATGATTGTATAGAATTTTTTTCAGAAATCGTACAGATGAATACTTGATAGATTATCATTGGAAGATGATAAAAGTACAAAAGAAAAGCTGCCAATGCAGTACCTATACATATTCTGTTTTTTCCTGTACTTGCAAAATAATTCATATTTATTACTCAATATAAATTAGCATATGAAAACTTTACAATCTTTTTATAATTTTCTAGTCAAAATGGCTTTTGTTTCGCGTCGAAATAACTCTTAAATATGGTGATTCAATCATGCAAAATGATTTCGAAAACGTTTGCAAAGAAGACTAAAGTCTGATTGGGCTCAAAACTCTTAAATATTTTTCTTCCATTGTGTTTGATAAAATTTGTTAGGTGTAGACTCGATAGAGGTAGACCTCGAGATGGAGAAAGTAACAGTAATTGGATATGTTGATCCAAAAAAGGTGCTCAAAGCAGTGAGGAGGGCAGGCAAGAGGGCTGAATTCTGGCCTTATCCCAATCCACCTTTGTATTTTACTTCGACGGACAACTATTTCAGAGACATGACCTCTGAGTACAAACGAAGCTATAACTATTGGAGACATGGCTACAGTGCCGGTGATAAGCACGGAACTCTCCCAATGGGTCATCGGGGAGATGACAAGATCAGCAACATGTTCAGTGACGACAATGTTTATGCGTGCTATGTCATGTAAAATAGTGTTACTTTTTTATATGTAAATATGCGTGGTTAGTCAAATGTTAGCGGTTTGGGGGAGTTAATAAGCTTGTGGCTTACATGTAGTGATATATGGCTACTTCGATGTACATATTTGGTTCGGTAGTTACCATAACCATATGGTAGGCCATATTTAAGCACTTCATAAAAATGTATCTTGACCGACGTATGTGTAAAATCTATTTAAGTTTGAGAATAATTGTTTTTAGATATTTGACTATAATAAAACATAGAGATGAATAATGATAATAGATCAACGTAAAATAAGTTATTATCCTAATTTATTTTAAGTTTTAAAATATAGCAATTAATATGTCCAAAATAATTTACTTTATTCAAAATAAAATTGATTTTGACTATAGTTTTGTTGAGGTTGTGATTTCTTAATGGAGATAATAAGGTAAACTATTAATTATTTAAAATTGGCTATAACTTTTATACTAAATTGGAGGAGTCATGAAAATAGTGAAAGAGGAGTCTCTTTAAAAAGAATTGACGCTTGGAAGAAAACTTAAAATGGGCTTGCTAGTGCAATATGTGAGCCCATAAAGAAAGTTGAAATCTTTTGTTTAAAAAAAAAAAGATTATTAACTGGGAAAATCGAAAATAGTTTTTCGGTTTATGGTTAAATCAACCGATTTATGGTTTATTCATCGATTTTTATTTTTCGGTTAATATATTGTAATTAGACCAAATTTCAAACTAGTTCCCAATTTTTTAGATTAAATCAATCGATCCAATCCGATTTTCATAACATCGAAAATAACATCATTTGGGGACCTTTTGTCATTTAAAAGAAAAGAAGGGGGTGCGCTGGTGACGAGTAAAGAGGACAAAAAGAGGTTTTAGACAGAATTAGACTCTCTTTTTGCGTATTCAGCATTTTGCTCTAGGGTTTTAGACCTTTATCAAGATTTGCAAGGAAAGAAAGTAAAAATAAAGATAGAGGAGAAAGATGGACTCATTCTCGTCACCATCGAGTGGTTCATCGCCGAATTTTTCGAAGGAAGATTTGATGGACCAGCTTAAAGTTCAGCTTGCCCAGGCTTACGCCGAGGAATTCCTCGAGGTATTATTATTTGTTTTTTCTCTATTTCTGAATCTCTTTCTCAATATTTTCAGCTCTGGATTTTTAGCGCATTTTGTTATTGTTGCCGTAGGTTATTAAAATGAGGTGCTGTTAATTATTATTGATTATTATTAAAAAATATTTGATGTTACCCAATTGGGACTTTTTAAGCTAGAGTTAGAATTGAGATATAATGATAGAGTTGATTGAAATGAAAAAATAAAAAATAGAAGGGATCTATAATCCAATAAGAAAGTTCATACAATCATACTTGTTGCCTTCTCTGATTAGAGGAATGCTCTGTTAAAACTATCATTGGTTCTATAAGACTGACCAGATTATCATCATCATCATCCTCCTCCTCCTCCTCCTCCTCCTAGACTAAGGAAATGGAGAATTTAATTAAATTATCAGTCTAGAGGAAACCTTTGAGCTTTGATGTTGTAAAGTAGACCTCACTAAGTTTGATTTTGATATATTGAGCAATGAAATGGCAGTATTGCAAATGAAATCCTGTTGAATAAGGAAGAGATTTTCTGAGTTTAGATCCAATTTCTCAAAACTTACAATTTGACTGAACCATGTGTTAGAATAGAGCACATGTGTGGGAAAAAAGTTGCTTCTTTGAGTTGGAGTTGGGTAAAAGAAGTAGCACTAAACTTCTAAGAAGTGAGAGTTGGTTTTTGATGGAAGAAAACAGGAGAGAGAAGTCCTGGATAGTTTGAGGTGGATTAGTCACACAAATGTTGGAAGAAGTGCAGTCATCCTCTGATGTGCCTAGATTGAGCTTAACTTGGCATCAAATTTATTTTGGTTTAGTCATAATTGATCTTATTGTTTAGATTTTCTTCAAAAATTTCATTTGTCAACATCAATATTAAATTATTGAATACTCGATTATTAAATTTTCAATAAACTTTTACGGCAAAACATTACTTAGACGAAGATTTATAATAAAATTAAATAAAATGCAACAGAAAATATGTATTTATTTGCTTAGTTACACCTGTTCGTTAACTTTCACGTTCACGATTACTCTGGTATGTATTTGTATACTGTTTTTGTGTTCGATGAGGATAGGTAAGTATTGCTACCTCCACATACCACAAAATGGAAATATAACAAGATCCTTAAGAAAGCTGATAATGAGCATGCTAGAGATCATAAATAGTTGTTATTTTTTATTATGTACTTATGTTTCTTCTATGGTCTAACAGACTGTGCGTGGAAAATGCTTTGAAAAGTGCATCACCAAACCTGGCAGTAGCCTTAGTGGGAGTGAGAGCAGTTGCATCTCCAGGTGTGTGGATCGTTATATTGAGGCCACTGGTATCATTGGCAAAGCGCTCTTCAACCAACAGCACTGAAGTTGTGTGGAATTACTGGAGATCAAGTTTGATTAGGCTAGAAATGGGTTATTATTTTTCAATGCATTTGATACTGCTTTCCATTTTAACATCCAAATGAAAATATATAAATGAGTACTTATAACCTCCTAGCCGAATACAGAATTTCTCTCTTTAAGTCTTGCCAGTTGTCAACTTGTTATATGGTACTGTTTCGTCGTTTTCTATATTCATTTTTCCTTTTCCTGATCTGCCATTCTTCCCTGGCACGAATTTATCTGTTTTATCATTACAGTTTGTTCTTTCTTTCCTTTTTTGAGGAGCATGGTGTTCTTGTTTAAGAGATTGTCCTTTGATTAATTCCTATGTTTTCTTTAATTTCTTTTACACTTGTTGTTTTATTGGGTATTTTGTTATTTGATCATGTTTAATCTTACTGTAATTATTTTAAAGGAAGATACTTGGTATGCACGATGTATTTAACCTTTGCTCTTTAACCTATCTACAGGGTCTTGAGCTAGTGTTCATGGTGTGGAAAGCATCTAGTGTCCTTTCTTCACAACTACACCTTTAAGCATTAAAAGATAGAAAATAACACGATTTATGCAAATTAACATTGAATACTAGAGTCTTACAATTCTCTACTGCTTCACTTTCCACGACAATACATTTCCAGTGAAACTTCCTTGCCTGGTTTCTTTTTTCTTTTTTTCTTTTTTTCACAGTGAAGAAAAGTTCGTTCTTTTCCATTTTCTCCCTCGAATAATATGCCTTCTAGACTTCATTTATTCTTCAAATCATTGTGAATGGTATTAAGAAATATTGTTGTATATATGTAATTGATTTATATAGTTTGGCTTTCCTAGAATACTACAGATTAAATTCCACTAATATTGGATCATGATTTCTAAGCCTTAGAAACAGCACTGATTTATTTCTTGTATATATTTATATATGCAGTATTTGTAATGAAAACAGAAATATAAAACAATACAGATACTCTATTTTTCTCATGGTATCAAAGGAATTTTCGTTGCGGCAATGAACTTGTGAGATGCTCTTCAACACGAGACGAAAACATTCGGGCACCAACAATACAATCAATAATGAAAAACAAACAACAAACAATTCCATCAAACTATAAGTAATCTACGATTGAACAATGTACGATTGCATGGCAACTTTTGTCTTTTCTTTATTTTAACTTGGTTGAATGCCAGATGTTTGCACGTAGTTTCTCCATGTGGTTTTCACTGGGGGTTTTATATATGAGGAATAACAAAGTTCATCAATGGATCAATTCAGCTATCTTCAAAAATTGAAAAATCGATAGAATTCATAATCAATGCAACAACATGATTTTATCATGGCTGATTCACTCTGTAGAACTTGATCTAACAAGTGGGATAGTTCATGCGAATACTGCTCAACAAGTGTAGGAAGATTTCAAAGATCAATTTTCACAAAAAATGCACCAAAAATCTATCAAATCGAGAAATCCTTAGCCAGTCTCTCACAAGGTACTATGCCAGTTTCAATATATTTCACAAAAATCAAAAGCCTTTGAGATGTGTTTGGTTTTTTGATACCCAATAAATCTCGGGTTATGATGTTAACGTGGGTTAATATTATTTCATAGGCATCGGTCGATGAATGAAATAAGTCCAACAACCAAATCCATGAGCTACACCCGGCCGAATTGTATTCCTTATGGATAGCTTGAATCTTGGCCCGTTTACTCCTTTAATGGCCCAACTTAAAGCCTAACCCTAGAGTATATATATGAATATAAGCCTAGCCTCTTTAATATGATGATTGTGTGATTTTGAGAGAAGAAACAAGAGAATCCCGGCTACCCCCCTTTGTGGGAGAAAAAGGTGTCCAGAAGTGTCAAAAACGCTTGTATAACGTGTGCAATTGGTGGTTCTTTCATAGTATACCTTTGTGGTGTCTTCTCTTAGCCTTTGTGGCAATAAATCATCATCCTTTCTTGTCCTACGTGGGTAAGATTGAATAGCAATCAAGATGAATCAATTGGTTGTGGTTTGGAACCGTTTGGATTGGTTGTTGGTAGAGAAAGGTACATTGGACTGAGTCTGGAAAATCACCGTTTGAAAATCCTTTGAGAGAGCTTCCGCAACAATTGGTATCAAAGCTTCAAGGTGAAGGTTTTGGCTCGTGAAATCTACCAGAAATTGTCCAGAAAATAGGCAGAAACGCAGCAGAAATCAGATCGAAGAAGCTGTCCAAAAATTGTTAAAAATCAGCCCTTGTTTTGGTGTTTTCTGACCAATCCAGAACGAGTTTGGGGAAACGGAGACCACTGGCGTGACGTGCAGGTGCTGGCGATTCTGGTGATCCGGCGCGTATATCATCCAGGTGGCGCGTGGGGACGGCGCGTGAAGCCCACGCGCAGAGAAGGAAGACGCGCGTGGGGGCGCGTGAGACTGAATTTGGAAACGGTCTTTTCAGTCAGTTTGTTCCTCATATTATTTTTGACATTTTTCGTGTTGGAAGTTTTTTGTTTCAGGGTACGCAGTAGAATCTGGACAGCGTTGTTCTTCGGGCGTTCGGGACTCGATCGTGATTTTTGGATTGCTGCAGTTTTCAGAGACTTTAGGACGAATAGTGATAGTCCTAAAGTGATGAATTCGTGTCTCTCGATATTTACGGACCTTCAGACGTGGTCTGCTCGATATCGTGTTCTTTGTTTTTATTATTGCAGTTGAAATAAATGTGTAGAGTAATTTATTTTTTGCATTAGAGGTCATCGTGTGGGGTGACATTAGGTTTGGGGTTACCATGAAGGGGTAACCATTGCCTGTTGCTAGACCTAGGAATTATTTGCCTTAAATTCTTTGTGAATTTGTTGTCAATTTTTCTACATTATTAGAATTGCATGTGGTCTTATGAAAGTTTACTAGACTATTCTATGTGAATTATGTTCATACTTTACTTGTGGTCATTATTTGGCATTGTTGGCAAATGTGGGTCTAAGGTAAATGCAAAAAATAACATATATTTTAACTGTGGTGAAATTTGGATATAGTTGAAAGAGATTGTCTTAGGATGATAATAAAAGGAAAGATGAGGATAGAGACAAAGCGAATATGACTTTAGGGTCGAGTAGTGATCCTAGTGAGGTTTATTGAGATAATAAACATGGTTCTTGTATTGCATCTGTGTGTAATCCTTTCTGCATGTATGTGGTCACTTAATTCTGTTGCGATGTTGATTATACACTTTCAATATGTTTGATATGTGTAATTGCATGAATTAGAGTAACTTATTACTTTGTGTAATATGTTTACATGCATAATGGGTTAAGTTTTGTGGCATACTCTATTTGCTCTATGAGTGGTGTGAGAGTGTGGTAGTGAGAAGAAAGTTGGGCAGTCGTTTCTCTCCTTTATCTTTGTGAGCCTGTGTGGTTTGTGAGATTATGTGAGGCAGCCATGTTAGGATTATATTTTCCTCTTTGTGAGCCTCCTTTGTGAGTGTTGTGAAGTAACCGACTCTTTCTTCGATTCTCTTTGAGAGTGCCACCTTCACTATTTTCTTTGTGAATTTTTTGGGAGCATTGGTGAGTGGATTAACCTTTGTGGTCACCGAAAGGTGTTGTTTTGCCATAGTGAGTTAGAGATGCATTAGCAATGAGTTGGATGTCTTTTGGTAAGGTGGAGTATAGATGCCTAGAGGTGCATTGATGATATGCACGAGGGATGTAGAGTGTGACATTTGGATCACGAGTGGAGATGTGATCAAATGTCTAGGATCCTTTATCTGGAAAGAGACCCTAATCAGGTGGAGTGTGAGAGAAGCACTTCTATCACTTCTGTTAGGTGGAGACCCATTATCCACGTAAGTTGGAAGAAGTGATGTGGAGATAAAGGATTATCCCGTGGACTTAGGATCTATTGTGACTTGCCAGTTAGACATGAGTTGAGTGATCTGTCTAGTGAGCTTGGTGGGCGATGAGAGGAGATATGTGTTCTCGTGGTGTGAGTAACACGGAATGGGATAGGATAAGTGTGGTGAGATCTTTTCTTAGGGTCATTTATGCATGTGTTGCATATGTGGTTGATCGTGATTTGATTGACTTGGTGTTAATCTATGGTTCTATGTGAACGTGTTTCTGAAAAGATTTGTGTGTGTTATCCTATAATATATCGTCATCGTATGTGTATTTGCTCTTGATTGTTTACTGTTAAATATTTGCTTCTACTTGGGTGTTTTTGACCTTAGCCCCAATGAGTACATGGAGCAGGTATGGTATGTATTTCAAGTTGGAAACACGAGGTAAGGTCTGTAATCCAATTTTATTAGCTATCTTGATTATGCAAGTGTTAACTGTGTGTTTTTGATTGCTTGCAGATTTATTGGGCATCAAGGTGGAGATTTGTTGGGTTTTTTGATACCCAATAAATCCCGGGTTATGATATTAACATGGGTTAATATTATTTCATAGGCATAGGCCGATGAATGAAATAAGTCCAACAACCAAGTCCATGAGCTATACCTGGTCCAATTGTATTCCTTATGGATGGCTTGAATCTTAGCCCGTTTACCCCTTTAATGGCCCAACTTAAAGCCTAGCCTCTTTGATATGATGATTGTGTGATTTTGAAAGAAGAAACAAGAGAATCCCGGCTGCCCCCCTTTGTGGGAGAAAAAAGGTGTCCAGAAGTGTCAAGAACGCTTGTATAACGTGTGCAATTGGTGGTTCTTTCATAGTATACATTCGTGGTGTTTTCTCTTAGCCTTTGTAGCGATAAATTATCATCCTTTCTTGTCCTACATGGGTAAGATTGAATAGCAACCAAGGTGAATCAATTGGTTGTGGTTTGGAGCCGTTTGGATTGGTTGTTGATAGAGAAATGTACGTTGGACTGAGCCTAGAAAACCACCGTTTGAAGATCTTTTGAGAGAGCTTCCGCAACAAGATGAATTAGAAATATATAGATCTCTTCCCAACTGCAACTAGATGAAAAAACATAATGATCAGAGAGAAGAGGATTGGTTGATGCAATTTATAACAATGTCTATAATGCTGTTCGTACCAATATCCTCATGATGTTGCCATTGCCTAATATATACGTCAAGCAAACTCTTGCGCCATTCAAGATGAAACAAGATGACAAGTGGCATCAGAATCAACTAAAAACTTTTCCATCGTTATTGCTATTCACAGTCGAACCAACAACTCCTCAAATGATTTCAAAGACAAGTATTGTGAGCACTGTAATAGAGGAAGTCATACAATTGAAAATTGTCGAACTTAAAATTCCATTGAAAGTATTGTGACAAAAAGGGTCATACTAAGGAAAGGTGCAACTATAAAAATGGAACATGGTTTCTCAACAACACAAAGTAATCGACAAATTCAA